GATATCCAGTGTTTACTTGAGAAGACCTTCTCAGCATTTTATCTGTACTAATACCTACAAAGGATTCCAAACTCCATGGTGGATCACCCATGTTGGAATGTAAGTTGGTCAGGTCTCTAAGAGTTATATCATCAATGGCATCGTTACTTTATTGTGGATGTAATATATTTGGATTTTAAGTTGCTACCTCCCTGCAGATTCATCCTGCGCTATATTCCAGAACAGGATTGGGCCTCCCCACACTAAAGGCATCCCCTGGATTCAGGACACACAGGTCATTCCAGGATTCTTCACTACTATTCGACTCCACTTTGCTTGAGACATCATGCACTGGCACTAAAGTTCTGCAATTCTGCATGGTGAATTTCTTACCTCTGCATCATCCACCAGACTCCTAGCCTTAAGCAACTCCCCCCGTGCACAAAAACAAAGTTGCTGGAAAAGCCCAGCAGATCTGGCAGCATCTGTGAAGGAAACAAACAGAGTTAACGTTTCGGGTCCGGTGACCCTTCCTCAGAACGTGCACTGTTTACTGAGGCTGCTCTCCAGCTAACTTTCAACAACAAGGATATGGCCAATTGTGTCCAGTTGCTTGATGACTCCGTGGTTTGGGAGAGGGGAAAGGTAGGCTTACAAATCAAAAGGAGATGGCAACATTACAGAGCAGCTATTTGGATAACAATACTCAGGGATGGGACAGAGTGTACAAACATAAAAAAAAGAGTAGTAGTGTTGTGTCCTAATTCAAGAAAAGGGACAAGGAGAAGACAAGCAACTACAGACTAGTAAGTTTAACTGCAGTGATTAGTAAACTTCAAGAAACAATAATTCAAAACAAAATTAATAGTCACATGGGATCTATTAATTAAGGATAATCAGTATGGATTTCTTGAAGAAAAATCATGTTTAATTAACTTACCTTAGTTGATTGATGAGGTAACAGATTTGGGAAATGCAGGTATCAGATCTATAGGGATTTCCATAAGGCATTTGATACAGTGTCTCATACCAGACTAGTGAGCAAAGTTAGAGCTCATAGAATAACAGCGACAGTAACAACATGAATACAAATTGGCGAGGTGCTAGGAAACGGTGAGTAATAGTTCATGAATGTTTTTTCAGACTGGGGTAGATTTTCAAGGTATTACCTCAGAGCTGAGTGTTGGGACAGTTATTTTTCCTGGTATATATTAAAACAAGAGGAAGGAGATTATGTTGAATTTGTATAAGACACTGCTTTTGCATCAGCTGGAGTATTGCAAACAGTTCTGGACAACACACTTCAGGAAATATGTGAAGGCATTGGAGACAGTGCATAAAAAGTTGACAAAAAGGGTTCTAGGGATGAGGACTTTCTGTATGGAGACAGATTGGGGAAGCTGAGAGTGTATTTTTTTCAGAAGAAACAGCAAGGTGAAGATCTGATTGAAGTATTCAAAACCATGAGAGGTGTCGACAGAGTAAACAGGGAGAAATTATTTCCATTAATTGCTTCTATTTCCACTTGAAAATATCAAAAAAGACAAGACACAGATTTAAAGTGATTAGTAAAAGAAGCAAAAGTCATATAAATATGTGATAAGTTGCACATAGCGACTGGCTAGATACTGCTTGAGAGTATGATGGAGGCAGATTCAATTGAGGCATTCAAAAAAGAATTAGGTTGTTACTTGAAGAGGAAGAATATGCAGGGTTATAGGGAGAAGACAAAAGAATGGCTTTATTTGAGATGCCCATTTGGAGAGCAAACACAGGCACTGTATGCTAAATAGCCTCCTTCTACACTGTAACAATTTTGTGAAGAATGTAAGATTAAATTAGAATTGGGATAGAGTGAACTTGGAGAGAAAAATATGAAAGAACCATGTGGCGCCTTTCTTGGCCAGAGACCAAGGCAAATACCTTCACAGGCAATGAAACACTTTGGAAATTCAGTTAATTATAAAGAAACTTGACAAAAATAATCTGTGTACATAGGAGCATACAAATAAAAGAAGGAGATTCAGGCTCTCTTCCCTGTTCTCCCATTCGATGAGACATTGGCTGATCTGTGATCTAACTCCTTGAATCTGTCTTTTTCTCAAATATTCCCTTATACTTTTGGTTAACAGAAATTGTATCAGATGTAAAATTCATAATTGACTTAATAACAACTGACAATTACAGAAAAAGGCTCCACAATGTTATTACACTTCCTGTATAAAAGTATTTGCTAAAGTACACTCATGAAAAGTCTGGCTCCAATCTTTAGACTGTGCCCTACAGACTTAGATTACCAATCAGTGGAAGAAATTTCTCCTCATCTACACCATCAGTTTTCCTTCAGGAAAATGGTGATCAAACCATCACATTATCTTTCAGATTCCAGGGATTACAATCCAGGATTGTGTAAACTCTTTTCGGAATGTAACCCATGGAATCCAGTTATCATCTTGATAAGTCAATACTGCAACCTTAACCCCTCCAAGATCCATGTATCCCACCTAAGACATGGTGCCCAGAACTGAACACAGCACCGTAAATGTGATCTAACTAGGGCTTTGTACATAGGATGCTTTCTAACTCCATTGTGTCCTACTTCTCTAATTCTTAAAGTCGGCATTCCAATTGCCATTTTGGTTATTTTTTCTATTGGTTCATAACATGTTAACCATCTACGCACATAAACTGCTAAGTTTCTTTAGGTCTTTAGTGATTCAAATTTTCACCATTTATTGTTTATAGGTCCAAAAATTGTTATTTTGTAGTTGTAGCTTGTAGTTCAAGTTCCACTGTATTAATGTGTACTTTGAAGGGGCATAGCCAAGAACATCCACTAGATTCCCTGCATGTGCAAGGAAATATTAAATTTATCTATTTGTAACAGTTTTACTCATTCATTTAGTCAATTAATGTCAATTTTATGCCTCCATCTGCACTGCCTGCTGTCTTTGCATCATCGGCAAATCTGGACCTGTGGTACTCTACCCTGTCATTTGCACTGTTAATAAATACAGCGGATATTAAGTTTCAAAACAGACTTCTATAGGACACCACTACTCATATCCTGTCAATCTGTGTGCCTGTTCACTATTCAAACACTCTTGTCACTCCATCAATTTCCCAGCCTGGCCCACACTTTGCCTTCAATTTCATGACTTCAGTTTAAGCTAAAGCCACAGCAGTCAAAGCTTACAAAGTTAAAGCTTGCAATCTTCTCAAGGGCAATTGGGATAGGCAATAAATGTTGACTTTTATAAAGGCATACTAATAAAGTTGTTCCCATTTGTGGGTTGTCTAAACCAGGGGCCATTTATATGATTGTTAAGAATAAAGTTAACAAGGAATTCAAGAGAGACCTCTTGAGCTGAAGAAAATGTGAAACTTGTCATGACTGATCCCGAGATAAGTTTTTCCAATTTGTTACATTTCTCGATGGAATAACCCAGATAGTTATGCTTCTGGTTCAGGAAGGATGAACCGGCTCCTATTTTTTACTCAATCCTTCCTTTGGTTGTTCGCAACATGGTTATTTTATGTAAAATGATTCCTTCCCTCATTGACACTTTCATCTAGCCCAAATATAATTATGCTTAGAAGGAGTGTATTTAACCATGCTTTCATGAGTGAGCTTAGGAAGAAAAGTAAGATTAATAGTTACTAAAACACAAGAAAATATTATGAAATGCAACACATATATGCACAGAAATATGTCATGAGTCTGTGATGAATACATTGCAAAGCATTGTGCACATTAAGGTGGTTCATTCCAGTAGCGTTGACTTTGACAAAATTAGTATTGTTTGGAGATCCTTGGTTCTGCAGCTAGCTGAAAGTTCTCCAGTATTTTTCAACAGTAACTTTTCCTGCTTGATTTGTTTTCCAGCAATCTGTTTTTCACAGACTTCATTTCTTTTTATCTGCACACTGGGGGGAGTCCATAGAATCGTAGAAGTCCCAAAGTATGGAAAGAGGCCATTCGACTCATCAAGTCCACACCAACCTAATGAGGAGCATCCCACCCAGACCCAGCACCACACCACCCTATCCCTGTCATCCCACATTTACTGTGGGTAATCAACCTAACCTGCATATCCTTGGCCACCATGGGACAACTTAGCATGGGAAATTGACTAACCTGCATATCTTTGGACATTTCACCCAGTGAACGTTTTCAGTCTTGTCCCTTCACAGAACATTTTAGCATAGTGGAAGTTGAATCACAAGCTAATGTATGAGCACATAGAGACCAGGGGTTTCAGATGATTCTTAACCCCCCCTATTCCTTAAAGGGTAACAATAATCATGCATTTTGTTCAGAACTGATTTCTTTTCAACTCATCACGTATAGTCTGGAACAAAACCCATAAAAGAATACAGTTCAGTTTTTGAATGGCACCTCTCCCTTTCATGTGTTGCTTTCTTAAGTTCCATTTCCCCTCTTCAGATGTGATATTCTATTATGCCTCTCAGGCTCCAAACCCCAGATATAAAAGAAAGGAAAATGTTTGGTGGGGGGTTGGAGGGGATAGAATGCATTTTTGTTATATGTATTTTCGCTTTTTTCTAGAGGAAGGCAGGACATCACAATGGATATTTTGGCTAACAAATGGCTCAGGGCCGGGGTCAAAACCTGGGATGAAAACTCCAGGAATCCAATCAATCACAATAGGAATCCAGCCCCTTTAGAATTGTCTTGAGTGGGAGATGTACAGCAATTCCATAAATAATACTTCTTTTAAAAAATATTCTCTCTTTCACACTTTAAAATGTTATTTTTTTTCTCTCCACATGGAGTAAAGTTGATCCTTGTTTAGTTTGTACATTATGTTCAGTCGTTGCTCTCACTGTTTCTGCCTTTTTAAGGCTGTCAGTGGACTGTTCTCCAGGTTGAAATATATGTACAGTGGTGAGGAACCTGGATTTCACAATGTGAAGGTAGCTGTGACAAATTGAAAACATTTACTGCACAAAGTGATCTCAGAGACTGTCCTTGAAACACCACAGCTAAATCACCCCGCGGTGACCTCTGACCTGCGAACCGGATGTGAACCTTCAGGCCGGTGGCAAGATGGCGGCCGCGGAGCCGTGAACTCGAAACGATTTAAAATATCTCCGTCCGCCTGGGCCCGGGGGGCAAGGGCGTGATTTACCGACAGGGATGGGCGACACAGAGAAATTCTACTATGTTTACAGCTGTGACCTGGATATTAACGTCCAGCTGAAAATGTGAGTGAGAAGGGAGAGGGTGGGATTGAGGAGAAGGACGGGGGACGAGAAACACAACAACAGGCCATAAGATTTAGGAGCAGAATGAGACCATTCAGCCCATCAAGTCTGCTCAGCCATTCGTTCATGGCTGATACGTTTCTCAACCCCATTCTCCTATCTTCACCCACAACCTTTTGATCCCCTTACTAATCGAAAACCTATCTGTCTCTTGCAATTTTCTTTTATATTGCTAGTCAGCTTACTGTGATATTTCATCTTCTCCTCCCCCCCATTGCTTTTTATCTTTTAGTTATCTGCTGCTTGTTTTTTAAGGCTTCCCAATCTTCTGGCTTCCCACTAATCTTCACTATGTTGTATGCTTTTTCTTTTGCTTTTATGCTGTCCCTGACTTCTCTTGTCAGTCACGGTTGCCTCGTCCTACCTATTGTAAATTCCTTCTTCCTTGGGAAGAATTTCTGCTGTGTCTCACAAATTATTGCCAGAAACTCCTGCCGTTGCTGCTCTACCACCTTCCTGGCTAGGTTTCCCTTCCAACCAACTCTGGCCAGGTCCTCCCTCATTTCTTTTTAGTTACCTTTTACACAATTGCAGTAGCATTACATCTGATTCTAACTTTTCCCTCTCAAACTGCAGGGTCAATTCTATCATATTATGGTCACTGCACCTTGGAGTTCCTTCACCTTAAGCTCCCTAATCCAGTCTGCTTCATTACACATCACCAAATCCAGAACTTTCCCTCATGGGCTGTACCACAAGCTTCTCCAAAAATCATCTTGCAGACTTTCCACAAATTTACTTTATTGGGATCTGCTGCCAACCTGATTTTCCCAGTTCACCTGCATATTGAAGTCCCCCATGATTATGTGATAGTGCCTTTCTTACATGCCTTTCCTATCTCCTGATTAATTTTCTTCCCCGCGTGCAGACTACTGCTTGGAGGCCTATGCATAACTCACATCATGGCCTTTTTCCTTTGCGGTTCCTCAACTCTACCCACAAAGACTCCATGTCTTCTGACTCTATATCACTTCTTGGAGAGAGAGTGGGTGTTTGAAGAGATGGAGAGGAGGGTGTGAAATGGAGGAAGCTGGGGGATCTATGGGTGTGGGGGGGAGTAGAAACACTGAGAGAATGGGTTGATTGAGGGAAGGGAGGGAAACTGCAAGAGAAACAGCAGGATGGTCTGGGGGATTGAAGTGAGGGAAAGAGGGATTGAGGCGAGGGTGTGGGGAGATTGAGGGAAGGAAAAGGAGAGGGGAGAAACAGAAAAGGTGGGTATTGAGGGTAGGGAGAGGAGGGGTGAGAAAAATGAAAGTGGGGATTGAGGGCATGGAGGGGAGGGGGAGAAACAGGCAGCAGGGAGATGGGGAGGATGCCTGGGGGAGTGTGAGGTGCTGGACATTTAAGGAGGAGGAGGAGGAGGAGGAGAAGGGGGGAGAGATACAGAGGGAATGGGGTGAGATTAAGGTGAGTGGGCACTGGGTGAGAGTCAGGTGATGTGGGATTGAGGTGGTGGTGGTGGAGGAACAGAGTGAGTGGGGGTGTAAAGAGAACGAGGGGAACATTAAGGGGAAGGGGAATTGTGGAGAGAGGAGGTTTGAGTGGCAACAGGATTGACAGGATGATAGTGAACAGGGACAGTGGATGCTCAGGGACGAGACCAGTCCTGGCACTAAGTGGTCTTTGATTTGTCGTCTTCCTTGTCCTACACTTAGTCCTGGCAGTGACAGATCTTGGAGCAGGTCCTGTTTGTCACTCTCACTCGCTGACACTTAACTACTTACTTTCATTCTTTCATCTTTATTAAATATTTCTAAGTAATGTTTCAGAGTGCAGATTACTTTTAGACTATGGCAATGAGATTAATCCAGTTGAAATAATAGGCCAGTTTGATTAATCTATGTGGAAAGATCCTTTCATTCTCATTTAGCCTCCAATCTTCGATCTAATTTGGATGTTTATTCCACGTGCTGATCATTTGTTGAGTTTAAAAGGCAGTCTGTGTTGTCACAGCTCACTGGGGTAGCATGCTGGAAATTAAGCCTCTCTTTGCCTGGAGTTGTCACAAAAGCTATAGGTTTTTAAAAATACACACAATTACCCAATATATTTGATTTTCAGATTCAAAAATAACAGCAGGTTTCTGTAATTAACAAGAATTACTATTTGTTGCAAGTAATTGGACTCTAACTGCAAGTAAACAGATATAAATGGTTGGTATGTAATTTTATTAAATACAACTCTGATCCCCTTATAAACCCCATTTATACACATGCATTGACAGACTGCCAGACATAAACAGGAACAAAAACATGGATGAAAATCTGGAAAAGCAGTTCAGTAGTTTTTGTTCTCTAGATCTGTTGAGTTTCTTCTTACTGATCAGAAGGTTTGTTCTCAACTTTCCTTTTCTAAATGCTTCCACCAATTTGCAAGAAGCGTAGGATAGCTGGTTCACGTGTAAAGGTCTCTGACGTATCAATTAAATGTCACAACTTACAGCAACTGCTTAAAGAAAGTGGATTTTGACTGCAGAGAACAACGGAGAAATCACAAAATTATTAGAATTTTTTGAGGAGGTAACAAGCAGGATGGATAAATGAGAAGCAGTGGTTGTAATATATTTGGATTTTCAGAGGTGTTTGATAAGGTACCACATGGTCGGCCACATAAGATATGAGCCCATAGAGGTGGTAGGTTAGCATAGAGGATTGGCACACTAATAGAGAAGAGAGTTGGTATGTAGGACGGCATTTTCAGAATGGCAACCTGCCACAGGGATCAGTGTTGGGGCCACAATTATTTAACATATATATTAATGTCTTGCATAAGGACTATGAATGCACTACAGCCAAGTTTGCGGATGACCCACAAAGAGGTGGGGAAGGCACGTGATGAGGATCATACAAAGATTCTACAGACGGATGTAGCCAGATTAAATGAGTGGGCAAAAACTTGATAGATGGCATGTAATATGGGAAAATGTGAGGTTATGCAGTTTGATAGGAAAAGCAGAGGAGTTGAATATTATTTACGTAGAGAAACTGCAAAAATTTGCATCACAGAAGAATTTAGCAGTCCTCATCCATAAATCCTGAAATGTTAGCATGCACGTTCAGTGGACAATAAGAAAGGCAAGTGGTATGTTGGCCTTTATTTCAAAGAGAATTGGGTATACAAATAGGGAGGCTTTGCTAAAACTACGCAAAGCACTAGTCAGACCACAGCTGAAATACTGTAAACAGTTTTGGACCCTTTATTTAAGACTGGACATACAGGTATTGGAGCAATTCCAGTGAAAGTTCTCTAGATTGATCCTGGGTATGGAGTGACTGTCTTGTAAGAGAAGTTGAGAGGGTTTGCTTTGTACTGATTCGAGCTTAGTATAATGAGAGACAACTTTGTTATAACGTACAAGATTCTTTGGGAACTTGACAGAAAAGATGCAGAAAGGTTATTTTCCTTTGTTGGAGAATCTTGGCGGCGAGGGCGTAATCTCATAATTAGAGTTCAATCATTTAAGACTGAGAGGAGGAATTTTTTTCTCGCAGACCCTCTCAACCTCTCTTACAAGACAGTCACTCCATACTCAGGATCAATCTAGAGAGCTTTTGAGGCTGTGTTGCTAAGTACGTTCAAGGCTGAGATATTCAGATTTTTAAATCAGTGAGGCAGTTGATGTTTATGGGAGAAAAGCATGAAAGTGGAATTGAGAGTTATCATATCAGTCATAATTTTATTGAATGATGGAGCAGACTTGATGGGCTGAATGGCTTTTTCTTGTTCTACATTTTGTGGTTGTCTTGAGGTAGTTCCTGATCTGGGGAAGACCTGACCTTGTTCCCAGCCCTAAGCTGTTTAGTTGCGTGAGAATCAATCACGCAATTGCTTGCTGGCAAAAGGTCTTTGTTATTCATAACTGGTCACTAATCCATAGACGAAGCAACTTCTGTACCCAGTCAAAGCTCCATCTGGATATAACCCATTGGCTCCTGCTCGCCTGCAATCTAAGCTTCAATTACAGCATAACGATGCTCGCTATGAGTGTCAGGTTACTTTCTTGACTTTACAAAATGTGCAGTAGTTTTTGGTTTTTCAAAAACACTAAAACAACAAGACATGGTATTTTCAATGTTTGTCATATTTTGTCTTTCATTAGCTTGACATTGTGCCTTTAGTTTTATTCCCATATGTTCATGTAATAATCTTATTTGCCACATTTTATACATCCTTTATTTTATGCATTTTAGAAGGTCATCTTCTTCCCACCCTGAAAAGCCTATCTCTGTTCTGTCCTTTTTCTTAACTCAGATCCTAATGTTGGAGGTTAAACGCTTTATATTATGTTTTATATTATGTTTGACTCAATGGAAAGATATTTCATGTGCTGTAATTATAACCTAAAGACAGTAGGTTTGAAAATCCAATTTTGTGGGAGCATAACTTTCATGTGGTAATAGCAATACTTTATAAAAGGATGCTTAATTTGAATATTCAGTGATACATGAAGAAGTGAGGTGTGTTCTGCACAAATCTTACTCAGAATTCTGATGTGTAATGTTCCATTGTTTGGTGCCAATGGCCCTATCACACTTTGTGTCAATACTTACCTCCCACTTGCGATGATGGAGGTGGTCAGTAGACCCAGTTGGCTGGACAACTGGTTTGTGATGCAGAGTTTTGCCAACAGTGTCAGTTCAGTTTTTGCACCATCTGAGGTTACCATGAAGAATTCTCCTTCTCAACCTCTCCCCTTGCCTGAGGCCTGATGACCAACTGTGTCTCGCATGCATTCTCTGTCTCTTTCTTACATGCTGTCTCTCTCACACCCTCTCTCTCCTCCCACGCCTTCTCTCTCTTACAGTGATGAGAGAGCAGCCCTATGATCCAGTAAGACTACAGCGACTTTACTTTCACTTGTGATGTGGGTGGCAATTTGCTATCCATGATACAAAAGTCTAAGCAGGGGCCTTGGCTGGTTAGTCAGTCATACTCTG